GTAGAAATATAAGAATTCCTTGTTTTAATATTCATAATGATTACCTTATACTCGCGAGAATATCCTCCAAGAATTAGTAAAAGGTTGACTGGTATTTGTATCTTGAGCGACATGTTCTGACTTGTTCCAGCTTGTAGTTGACGTGGGAGTTCGTTCACTTAGCATCACTGACAGTTGTACTCCAGAGCTTACATAGACCGATCCGTATTTTTACTGGATACAGTCTTTTATCAAATTAATAAGCATGTCATCCTCAAGTGATGAGAAAACTATATAAAATAATGGCAACGACCCGCAGTTCATCGCACATGAAATTGCCATTGCTCCTTGAAGAAGATGTTGAAAAAATACGAATCAACATTCGGTAAACCATTAGGTACTAAAGGCTATTAAAAAAAATAAACAACATGAAATGAAGATTGAAGAAAAAACAGAGCTAAAAACACTGGTAATAAAGCAATTAAATTGTTAGATTGGAAAAGAAAGTTGCTGAAAGCTATGGAGGGTGACTGTGAGCCTGGGAAAATTAGAGGTTCCATTCAGGTTGGTAGTGTTCAAGAAGAAGGAAGTGAACTATATACCGAGCGCAGTGAGCAAACAGTTAGTATTACAGGGCCAGCAATTCAGAAGACATTGCCACCAAAAGGAAAATTAGCAACAGAGAAATACGAAATTAAGGAAACCAGAGGGTTAACCACAAAAGAACTGCAACGTCTAGTGCTGTTACAGCAGTACCAAACAAGTATTTTACAACAAGAGTATTATAAAACGAAATATGAAATGATGCAGCGTCAGAAGCCACCTGTAACTTAATGATGTCCACGAAAATAAAACTTATCATAACTTATAAATACACTTTAATCAGTAAAACTATTTATTATAATACTCAAGTTTCTTCTTATTTGTTGACCAAGTTGGCGGAGAGGAAGTTCGTCAGTCTCATGACTTCCTTCATCTTCAACTAACTCAAAGTCAGGATCGCCCAAGCTCCTTCGCAACATTATGGAGTACAATACAAGCAATAATAATTATTTTCGGCACATTCTCCAACTTTACGCGACAAACACGCTGTATATATAATAATATCTCTTTTATTGAAAGTTATCTCACTATTTTACTATATGTTCTATAAAAAAGTTGAAATCATTTCATGATATTACTATTCTACAATATTAATTACTATAACATTTACCTGTTCAACTTTTTCCAGGATATAATTGAATGATTCATGATTCATTCTGATTTACTGAAAAAGGCGGTCGGGGTCAGCTACCAACGCCTTGGACAAATGATGATATTCACCATAATGTACCCTCTCACGATTTATGGGGTGAATACCAACTTCCTTTTTGGTGATTATTTTAATTACAGAGCTGTCCAATGCAATAAATTCATCTTCAGATGATCTAGACACCATTTTGACGCGAAGGCTATGGTGGAACTTACAGGGGTCCGGTTTTATTTGCTTTTTTCTCGTCAGCACTGTGTCCATGACCAGCGCCGAAATTCGATACCGATCGGCGCTGGTTGCCGGTAAGGAGGAAACCAGCTTAGACTGTGTTTTCGCCCTTAGCGTTATATCATCGACTTGTTCTTAAACACCTATGACAAAGTGCAGCTAAAGATGTGGCATTGGTATGAACATCAGAAAATTGTCTAAAACTAATTACCATACGTCGTTGAAAACATCCCTATACATGAGGTAGCTTCCTCGGCGCTCAATGTTTCATGGAGCATCGTTGGATGAAGATTTATTTCACCCCTCTGATGGTGTGCGTGCACGTATTCATGTAAAAGAGCCGTTTGAAGGAAGCCGGCAACGAGCGCGTCGAAAGCTATGAACGGTATGCCACAAGTGAGTGAATTGGAATTCCTGGTTTGGTGTCAGACGCTAATTCAGCCCTTACCAACGACGTTGTAGAGTCAGATGGTCGGAATATATCTCCACGGCCCGGTTTTATTATCCGTTTACAATATCTCAATGCCGAAAATGATACGATTTGTGTAAGAAGGGCCTTCAAGAAATCCTTCATAAATCACCTAGCTTAGATACAAAAACCTATTTTTATATAGGGTGTCCCAGATTCGCTTCTCTATACAGGTATCTCGGCTCTTGTTATTCCAACAGAAAAGGTTGAATGGGGAAAGTTTTAGAGGAAACTTAGTGCTTTCGACAACCGGATTTAGATTTATGATCGGGCATCTAGTTTTCAAAATATCATCGAAGAACCGAAAATGGCGGAATTCGTTTTTTGTCAGTAAATCCAAAACGGTTAATTTGATTGCTATCAAAATGTGACATTTTTTTAAGAAAAATAAGACATGACATGTCTCAATCGTCTTTTGTTTTCCAGTAACCCGTCTCAACTTTTATTTTTTATATGGCCGCTACATTGGATTTTTTCATTTCTGAAAAGAGTGTAAAATTTCCAGTCTAGTGTTGTCTCACAAGTGCATATAAAATTGGAGTATCACCGAAATATCGTCACACGTAATATTATGTATTGGTTTTTTTCTAACGAGGTCATGATTTATTTGCCAGAAAATAACATTAATGTCCAAGGCATAAAAAACACTTGAATTTTCAATAGAATACTAGTATTAACTTCTCAACAAGTAAAATGTTTTGGAGCAAATTTCCAACTATGAGTATGTTGAGTCAGAAATATCGTCGTAAATTTATTTTACACTTGAACAAACAGACATTTTACCATATTGTAATGTAATGTAAAATATAATTATGTAGGTGGATACTAATTTAAAGATTTGTAAAATAACGTTCATTTGCATCCAAACATGTTTGGCAATTGGTTTTTCGCTCAGGCACATTTCCGCGGAGATGTCCGCTATCCCACAAGTACAAAGTACAAGTTTTTACGAATTTGAAATCGCGATTCGAGGATGCGTGCATCTCGATGGCTCACATCTCAATGAAGTTATTTTTAACCTGATATAAGCCTTACATCCTGAATAGAGGATAGTTGCTATGCTTTCGTTTGTTGCCCCAGAAAGCAGGCTGATGAGTTTCCAAAAATCTAACTTAGACCCTTTAAGAAAAAGGCTGGTTACGAATATGTACAACAATGGCATTAAGCGGATCAAGTCCGTCAGACAAGTCAGTATAATTAGTCCATAGCATGCTTTCCCTGGCCTGTCCGTAGCACCATAAATCTAGAAACGTCACGTCACTTCTCTCCAATATCTGAAAACGTGATGCGTAACCCGCGGCAGAGCGCCCACAGAGCACCAGTCACGCAGGACACATACGAAAACCGACATGCCGGCCGCAGTCTCTTTGAAGTCAGCTACGCAGGGACGCTTATCGAAATCGTTTTTCGTTTCTGGGTAATATTTGATGTGCGAAATATGTCTAATAAGTGCATAGGATTATAGAGGTTGGTAGTGTGTTAATATAAACTCTATGTGTGAGTATTTCAATGCGATGTGTTCCGTTTCTCGTTTTTTGGGATCGAGAAAACTCTGTATTCGATTGTTACCTGTGAGATCAATATGTTAAAAGCTATTACCATATTTCAAATACCGGAACACTTGTATACAGTTATTTGTGTTTTTCTTTTCTTCATGCTCCTTTGTTGTTAAATTAATGATTTGTTTTCGTTGTTGGTATATTTCCTGTAATTGGGGGTGACTTGCTGGGAATTATAAATAAATATGCTAACATCAAAAAAATTTGATACACCCTTCCCCACCCGCTAAAACTCCACACCCTTCTTAAAAATCTCGTCAAAGAACGAAGCTTCAGCGGTTTCTATTTTGTTCGTTTTTGGCTTTTTTCTTCACCACCAGTGGACCGATTTTCAAGATCTACCGAATCGTCCTTGACGCAGTAGTAACCTTATGTTAAATTTTTTTCAAAATCCGATCTGTACTTTCCAAGGATTAGCGGACATACAGACCGACAGGCCGAGAGACTGAAGAAAATTAAGGACATGGCTTTGTATAACGTATAATATCCAAAAAGCATATTATCTCATTTTCGAAATTTTTCGCGCTTACAGTAATCCCTCGCCACTAGGCGTGGGAAGTAAAGAGAATTATCAGTAAAAATTCAAAGTGTTCATAGCCTCGAATTGACTAAATGTCTGTCTTTATCTTGGAGGTAACGTATAAGGTCTGTGGACATGGCAGTGGTTGACACATCGCATGACAAGTGTCGGTAGTGATCACAGCCCGCAGTAGTCCTGAAATTTAATTAATACGGAATACGGAATACACGCCTGGACAGTTGCACACATTAATTTTAATATTAACGGTCCGCAAATTTTTAATCAAGCCGGCACAATTAGAAATTTCCACCCGTAATTGGACATGAAATTGGTTAAATATTCTCGAAATTAAAATGCGCCCAGGGTTCATACGCCATCCCACCCTACCTCTAACTCTCCAGTTGAACCGATTTTGATGGAATTTTTGTTGGAATCTGAGCGAGTCAAAAGCATCCCGTAGATTGAACCGATATTTCCAGACAACAATAGCCAGTTATCCGTTTTTTATAGATAACAGAAACGCAGCCTTTCACCGGATATGCTTGGCCAAAGAAGGGACATCGTATTTTCTTTGTGCTTGGCTGCCGTATATCAAAACTGATCAATATGATCAACCATTAGTTGACTTCTCACAAACTAATAACTACCACTAGAGGCAATTCACTTATGTCCTTTAGATAAGCTCAACACATAATTAATATTACACCAGTCTGTGTTTTATAGTCGAGGATATACATGGCACGCCTCCTACCTTATTTGCTCATGAAGTGCCATCTTTTTCTAACACGCTTTTATAACGGAATCTTTGAGCATAATTTTCACCACTTTCCAGAAGCTTGATTAATTTGAAACTTCGCACACGTATCAAGGTCCGATGACAACGAAATAATTTTGTAACAGTTTTCCATTACCCTTATAAGTAAAATTCTGTAAAAAGCAGATATGTATAATAAAAATCCACGGATTTCAAATGCCGCTTGACGAATACTGAAACTCTCTGTAGCTGAGTGGCAGAGCACTGGTCTTGTGAACCAAGGGTCGTGAGTTCAATCCTCACAGGAGGCGGATTGTGGTATAACTTTTTTATTTTTCTAACACGCTTTTATTAGCCTGGCCTGTATGAATGTATGTATGTGTGTATGTTTGTAACGGAATCATTGAGCATAATTTTGACCAATTTCCAGAAGTTTGATTAATTTGAAACTTCGCACACGTATCCGATGACAATGCAACAATTTGATAACAGTTTTCCATCATCATTATTAGGACCGCCAGGATTGATAAATTCTTTTATAGATCCTCTGTAGGGGAGTAAGAGAGATAGAGCTAGCGCGCGATCTGCGCATGCATGCAGTTTTGGACTTAGTCTTTGTTGGTTAAGGTACTCGGCACAGCACCAAAAAGGCAGATACTTTTTCAAGAGAGTGCATTTTCACCTTGTTCATTGCGAATGTTGCCATTAATCCTGATTTGGGTTTCGACCGTCCACAAGATGCAAGGTTGTACTGTCGAACATGCAGTCACTTATTTATGCCTTTTCTATACTCCAACTACCACGAAGGGGGAGCGCCACACGGACTCTGGCGAGGGAACACGTGTGCACGCAACATGCACACATTCTGGTCCCGCCTACGAGATCCGCCGGGTGGTACCTCTGCGTTCGACAGTCACGCCTACGGACAATCACAACATCCATAGTCACTAGCAAAATTTCTCTTGGGATGGGATTCGAACCCGCGCAGCGCACGGCGACTAATCGGGAGACCGAAGAGTCTACTGCGGCCACCGCTGCTGCCTGAAGGTAAAAAAGTAGCGGAACTACAGTTATGAAACACTTTTATATATTGGTCAATAAATTACTTCGGTTGTCAAATAAACTCCAATAATCTGCTTTTTGTATTAGTTATACATGTGCGTTTGCGTCTCGCTGAGAGTTACAATGATAAAAAAAATAAAAAGTTCAAGTGCTCACCAATCTAGTTAGATTGAGTTTAAATAAAAGTTTTTCCGATCAGATACTGCATAATGAGGGAAATAGAATAGTTTGAGGCGTTTAAAGGTGATAATATGCTTTTTTGTCCCAATAAGTAGGTATTCTTTCCATTTTTTGGTATTATTGGCATCAGGGTCGTATTCAGAATTATATCGGAAATAATCGGGGCCTGTCTATCTGTCGATCAGTCTGCCTGTCGGTCTGTCCTGTAATCCTTGGCCCCCCTTCTATAACTTGGAAAGTACTGCTCGCATTTCGATGAAATTTGTACAAAAGGACAAAAAGTCGTTCTAGCTTTTAAAAGTCGGTCCTGTTACTACGGAGAGAAAGGCCAAAAACGAAAAAATAAAAGACGCTCAAATGTTATTTTTTGACGTTTAAAAGGGTCCTGACCATTTTTTAGAGAAGAAAACAATTTGGGGTGAGAAATTAGGGCGTGTGGGGCTGTAGGGGGGTGGGGGAGTTTATATCTCAATTTTATGATCTATACATATTAGCGATATTTCATACAGGATAGATTTCCCCGTACATTTGTCTCTAAAACTTGGAATGCTATATTAATGGTTTCGATACGCGTCTTGTTCTGCTATTTGGACTCAGCGCCCCGCATAACGGCCTGCTTGATTGCTCTGCTCGTACTGCGCTGGCGCGTCTGGCGATATGGGTAGGGGCAACGTTGCCAGATGAACGGTAGGGTAGAGAAAAAATGTCTATGGATTAATTGGATGGCCTTTGACTGACTTGATCCGTTTAATTTCTCTATTGTACTTGCTCGTAACTGTTTTTTTTTTCCTCAGAGGGATTAACTTAATCCTTTATGAACTGATGACTGGATTGCGTAGGAAGTTCAGGGTCAACTACTTGGCGCAATATTTTTATTACTGATTAAGAATTTGTGTGAGTTCAAAGCCCTTTGAGGTAAGCCTAGATCCAATCTATATGCCGAAACAAGCCCTTGATTCAAATACAGTATCAAAGTTCGATAATAGGGTGAGACAATAAGTTTAGGAATGTTTATTTACAGCCTGTTGGTGATGTAATCATTTCAGTTCAAAGATATGTTTTCTTGGCACAATTTTGCATCACACACTGTACCTGTTCAATATGGCAAAGTGTGCTATTGCCGGGTTACCACGAAAACTTTCTGATCCTTGAGGCGTTTCCAAGGTAACGTAATGCTCACAGTTAATACACTGTATCATGTTCGACAGACTCTTTGTTTGAAAAAGCCCGGAGTAAAATAAACTATGACGAAGACACGTAAAGAAAAACATTTCTTTATTGTTCTGAGTCGAGCAGCTCGATGTAGTTATTTACCAAAAGATTATGTCAAAGTAGGATCAACGTGTCACACGAACATAGGGTTTTAAGCCTCCATCTGTAAGAATCATCACGTTTGTCCCAAATTGCCTCCAAAAACAGCTTATCCTATACACTACATATACAGGAAAAAAGGTGACAAAAATTACGTCCAAAACTACTATGAGACATGAATCTTAAAATGCCTCCTTACCGAAATACCGTTGATTATTCGTGTTTCTGTGATCATTAGATGAAACTACATGGACAGAAATGACTGTTTACGTCACCTCGGTGGCCTTATTCAAAGTACAAATCAAAACTGACAATGACAATGTAGCAGGTAACCAAATAAGTTTGTGCAGTTTTTAGTAGAAAAATATAAATTTTTATTGATAAATAATTAGACACTATTTATTCGTCGAAGTAATTACCATCACATTCAATGACCTTTTGCCAACGTGGAACCAATTGTAGAACTCTCTGGATTTGGAGTAAAAAAATTGGCGGACTGCATTTATTACACCATCTCGAGTTGTGAACTGTCGGTGCCTCATACAGTTGTCAAGAGGCAAAAAAAGTTATAATCACTTGGCGAAATGTCGGGAGAATCTGGAGGGTGCGGCAACGTTTCCCTGCCTAGTTCAGAAATTTTTTCTCGAGTCACTTTTTCGGTACGAGGCTTGGCGGTATTCTGCAAGAATATCACTTTCTTCCCATTGAGCAAGTTAGCAGTGATGGTTTGACCCCCGTCAAACAACTCATAATGGACAATTCCAGTTGCTGTCCACCAAACACACAACAAAACCTTGTTTGGGTGCAAGGAAGCCTTGGGCGTATGTGGTACCGAATCAGTAGGCGACAACCAATGATACGAACGCAGGTTAATAACCGATTAAGGAATGGTTCATTAGCATTGCCTGAAATGTTTGCTGAACAAATGTTAAGACGACTTAATTTGTTATCATTTGTCAGTTCATGTGAGACCCACTTGCTTAACTACCTGGTCTTTCCTAGCTGATGAAGATGCAAGAGAATAGTTTCAGGACTCACTCTGAACATTTCTGCAAGTTCTTGGCAGGTTGTCCTGGAATTTGGATCCCTACAACCTGTCGAAGATCCTCGTTGTTCATGATTTTTGGTCTCGCTGAGCGCGGTTCATCGCTCAAACTGAGATCTGCCGAAGAAATTTTTTTGAACCACGTCTGTTTTGTTCGATCTAACGGCATCATCTCCGAATGCGGTACATATTTTTCGCGCCGCCGCTGCAGCTTTTATACCAAGTTTGTACACATACAGTAAACAACTTCGAATTACTGTTTTATTCGTCGCCATTTTCTATTATCAAAACTAGGCAGGTAACAATTCTCCTCTACCTTCTTCTATTCACACACGCGTTACGGTTATTGCAGTACAATTAACACAGCGGCCAATTTCGCGATAGTATAAACCAACGCAATGTCTCTATAGGCAATACTCCTGTAAAGGTCGCTAATATGGTGATAATTTGGACATCTTCGAGGCATTTTGTTATGCTTAACACTATTAAATGAAACGGCAATAACTGAAAATATCTGTACCACTCAGCTCTCAGAAACTGTTTTCTTCGCAAAAGCTAAGAGATGACCTTTCAACAAAGGTAAACAGAAACAAAGATAAAACGTTGAAATTGTTGCCAGAGCATGCTTTAAATATAATCATAATATTGCCAAAAAAATCAAGTTGTAGAAGTTATTTTTTCTGGGTGTAATACTTCTAATGTCAATAAGTATATAATTGTTACAATACTATATGTCGTTTCATCTAATGAGTAGTAAAAAAAGAGTATTACTTGTACTAAAACCATAGGATAAGTTTCAAATTAACAGGATCTGATGTTATGATTTCCAAAGTTGAAGGATATATACTAAGTGATATATAAATCCGAACACCCAGTTTAAATGATTTTACTTTAATAAAAGTTGGTGAATGTATTTATCTTACTGTAAATAACAAGTGAAAAAATTTTCAGCCTTATCAGTTGGACATTCCGGTTTTTATACTGCTTTTTTTTTAATTCACTAACGCTCTAAAAATGAATATTTCAGCCGCAGTAAAGAATCAACGTTGGCGGATTTTGGTTCTTGACATCCTTTACGATCGGTTACGATGCCTTTGCAGAACACGGAAGACCTATTGGCATGCGAAGTGTTTACCGACGAATGAGAAGTTTTGGCTTGTTTTCATACCGGCCACACTGGGTCCTCCCTTTAACTCGAGAACATCGACGTAATCGCCTTGAGTGGTGCAGACAACGGTCACTCTGGGATCAGGAATGGAACAGTATTGTCTTTAGTGACGAGTCTCGATTTTGTTTAGGCATGCACGATGGTCGTGCCAGGGTTAGAAGGCGACGTGGTGAAAGGAGGAATCCACAGTTTTTTGTTGAAAGACATGTTCATCACACTGTTTAAGTTATGATTTGGGGTGCTATAGCTTATGGTTCTAGGTCACCTTTAATCTTCATCAGAGGTAACATGAACGCGCAGCGTTATATCCACGAAGTTCTAGAACCCCATCTTTTACCCTATCTTGACACCCTGGCAGATCCAACTTTCCAACAAGATAATGCCCCACCACATGTTGCAAGAGTCACAATAGACTTCTTTCAACATAATGATGTCACATTGTTACCATGGCCACCAAGATCTCCCGACTTATCCCCAATTGAGCACGTGTGGGATATGATGGGTAGGAGATTGCTCAATTTGCAACGTCCTCCTCAGACTCTAGA